AGAGAGAGAGAGAGAGAGAGAGAGAGAGAGAGAGAGAGGGGGGCGCGCGTGTGTGTGTGTGTGTGTGAGAGAGAGAGGTGTGCGCGTTTGTATGTGTGTGTGTGAGAGAGAGATGTGTGCGTGTTTGTGTTGTGTGTGTGTTTTGCGCGCGCGCGTGTGTGTGTTCGTGTGTGTGTGTGTGTGAGAGAGAGAGGTGTGCGCGTTTGTATGTGTGTGTGTGAGAGAGAGAGATGTGTGCGTATTTGTGTTGTGTGTGTGTGTGTCTGCGCGCGCGCGTGTGTGTGTTCGTGTGTGTGTGTGTGTGAGAGAGAGAGGTGTGCGCGTTTGTATGTGTGTGTGTGTGAGAGAGAGAGATGTGTGCGTATTTGTGTTGTGTGTGTGTGTGTTTGCGCGCGCGCGTGTGTGTGTTCGTGTGTGTGTGTGTGTGAGAGAGAGAGGTGTGCGTGTTTATGTTGTGTGTGTGTGACACAGAGAGAGAAAACCCGAGGGATCAGGCATGCTCAGCGAAAGCATGGCCAAGGTTGTCAATATGGCGTTGGGCCAACGTTGGCACGTTGAGCAAAAAACCGTTGGGCCAACGTTGGCTGTCTGACGTTGAGCCAACGTTGTCAATATGACGTTGGGCGAACGTTGGCACGCTGAGCAAAAAGCCGTTGGGCCAACGTTGTCAATATGACGTTGGGCCAACGTTGGCACGCTGAGCAAAAAGCCGTTGGGCCAACGTTGTCAATATGACGTTGGACCAACGTTGGCACGCTGAGCAAAAAGACGTTGGATCAACGTTGGCTGTCTGACGTTGGGCCAACGTCGGGCCACCGTTGGGCCAATGTTGGCTGCCAACGTTGGGCCCAACGTTGGCACGCTGAGCAATAAGACGTTGGATCAACGTTGGCTGTCTGACGTTGGGCCAACGTTGGCACGCTGAGCAATAAGACGTTGGATCAACGTTGGCTGTCTGACGTTGGGCCAACGTTGGCAATATGACGTTGGGCCAACGTTGGGCCAACGTCGGCCCACCGTTGGGCCCAACTATGGCACGCTGAGCAAAAAGACGTTGGCCCAACGTTAGCATGAGCTGAAGACAGCCGTTGGCCCAACGT